TTTTCATTTTTGCGTAATATAAGTTTCTTTATTGCACTTCTCGCTTGTGGAACTCATCTAGCTCCATACTGTTTTCCTGATTACTCTTTCTTTTGTTTTCACACTTTAGTAATGTTTCTAATTCTTTTACAGCTAGTAACTGCTTAGTGGTTTTACTGCCTTGCTTGAGGTGAGCTTGATTTAAAAAAAAGTCATTTTAACTGAGGGTTTCAGCATATTGACCTTGTTCAATTACTTATTAAACAAGATCACGTGATCTTTATAAGAAACTATTAAGTAAAGCTTACTCAGCAGGCTTGCAGTACAAACCAGTTTGAGTGGGTGGTGTTGAAATACAAATGTGCCAGAGTCAGCATCAGCAACATCGATTAGCTTGCCACCTTAGCAGATGGGTATATTTAGACAATACACTCTTCAGCCTTTCTTCTTTTCAGTTTAACAGCATCCTATCACAAGATGTTAAGGTCTTTAAAGTGTAATCAATGAGAATAAATTCAGATTCCTGTTTCACCTCAAGTAAGGAAATAAAGCCACAAAGACTCAATGTGAAAGAATAAGAAAAACATTAAAAAGAAAAAAAGAGGATGAATCAAGTACACACTATATAATGATCGATATTGATCTTCAAAAATGTAGAAGCAAACTTGACTGAAAAGCAAGGAACTAAAAGAGATTACCACAAGCAAAAAGTGCAAAAGAAATTGTTAGCCTAGAACTTACAGTTGCATCTTGCCAATTCAATTGTAAAAAGAGGAGACCTTAACGCCAATCTAACACTGCACTTAAATTCATAAAGTCTAGGTACCATAGAAGAAAATTCATCAGAACAATTACCATGAAAGTATTTATAGAAATAGCTACATTTCAATGGAAGAAAAGTGCCTCAAGCCAGGTCAAGACCAATAACATTGCAGTTTCTTTAGATTTTATCAAAAATCTTTAATATAGCAGGAGCAGCAGACCATGTGTGGCAATGATATTTCAAGCATGGACAAATAGTAGACCTATGTGTAAGATAGATTCTGGTGAGGAGAAAATTTGTCTAGCACAACACAGTGAAGGACGTTTCTTAGCAACAGATGTAGCAGTTGATTCAATATAATCTTTCCACTTCATGTCAGCCTGAGGAGGTACACTGAGTCACTCTCCTGAAGGCTATTATTATTATTATGGTAGGAGTCGCTAGAATGATTAATAGAAAGCAGTTTTGTCTTGGAGGCGTTAAAACTAACTTTATTGTAGGTCTGCCAATTTGACCATATCGACCCAATCAGAGTATTTAAGACAGGAGTAAATAGTTTGTTATTTATTGGTCAAATTAAAAACGACAAAGAACAGGGCAATATTTCCTCAACTATTGATTCTGCAATCCTGTTTTGAAATAAGAATTTAAACCCTGCCAAGAAAATATTTTTTTTTTTTTTTTTTTTTACTGAAAACCTTTTCGAGATCATAAAATAAGATTCTGTAAATTGTTTCATGTTAAATCTGAATGTTACTTGTACTCAAGCAAAGACAATTCCAACTCTCTGGGCTGAATTTGTGGAAAAGTATTTTTGAAACTACTTTTGTTTTAATACAGACATGAGTAATATTTCTGGTTGGTCGGGTTTTATGGCATATCAACCACTGTAGGTGTTTAGTTATATGACTTATAAACATATATAAGCTAGTGCTAATTTGCTTGCAAACTGCAAAATAATTCCAGGTATTACTGTCTAGGACAAGGTTTTCCATTTAGTATAGACAATTTGTTTGAACAATGTTAAAAGGTAGCATATATTAATTACACATCAGACTACATCCTTGATAAAAGACTAATTTTTTTCAGGAAGTTTATTGTATGACTTGGATTAATTTTTGTAAATAATTCCTTTGTACTCTTAATGTTGTAAAACTTTCTTCGAAGGTGTGTAAGGTTGATATTTATTGTATATTAAATACAATTCTAGCACAAGGCCAAAAGGGGTAGGCTGGTCATCACTATCTTATACCTAGCTAATCCGATTCACAACCTATTGACGCATTACAATTTGCCCATTCACCACAAAAACTCGTTCATCACCAATCAATCTTCCATGCACCATAATACTGCATCCTCTCAAGGGGGTCCTACAAAACGTGCCCCAATACCATAAAAATATAATAATTATATATGTGTACTTAAAAATTTATGGATGAATAAAATGAGAGGAGAGTGAGATGAACCCAATAACAAAATAAAATATCAACACAAAACAAACTAAACATAACTGATGTTAGTAGGGCCCATCCAACCCTCAAAACAGAGAGGCTGCTGTATTCTGCCCATTGGACAAAATCAAGAAGCTCTCTCACTAGAGGAGTGGGAAAGGAGAAAAATATATGGACATGGGGAAATAAAAAGCTGACACAGGCAAGATAAAAAGGGGCCAAAACAAACTGGGGAGGTTGGGAATCTCAAGTTGGATCATAACCAAAGAGGCAGCCTGGAACAGGCAAGGAACAACTCTTACTAACATTAACTAGGTACACAGAAACTTGTCTAACCTAACCAAGGAAACTAACTCCGCAGGAAACTAACCCAATGTGATGTAGGTTGACCTAAAAAAGAAAATCAAGGCGAGCCCTGTTCAAACGAACCAAGCTCTTTCACCCACCTTTTGCTGAAGACTCGAATGCAACAGTTTTATATCCCTTCTAATCTTCATCTTGAGCTGATGCTCAAAGAATTCGATCAGATCCTGATGAGAAAGATGGCTGCCTCACAAGACCTCCTCTATTCACGTTGTCCAAATCACCATTCGTTTCACCCCAGAATACGGGGTCGACACATTGTCACACGTGTACAAGTGAGCAATGAGCACAAGCTTTTTAGGAGTGAGATGAGCAGTCAACTCGCCGACATGGTCCCATAAGGGGCGGACCCGGGGACAATGGTAGAAGGCATGCGAAGCTGTTTCTTCTAAACCAAGGCCACACCATTTACAGTCTGGCAAATCCACCAAGCCCCATATCAAGTGTGTAAGGTCTGTGCATTCTCTCAGTATATGTTTTACTGTGTATTGGTTCTCATAGGCTTCCCTTCTAGTATGAAGGAGTGAGTCAGTCTAGTGCATCCAATGCGTAACTGAGTAAGGGTGGTTTCTTCTCCTCTTGTATTATCAAGATTCAGTTTCCTTTCTTTTAAAGTGGGTTCTATTTGATAGAGATTGTTGTGGGTATTTTTGTCCCATATTTTCTTGATTTTATGTTTTAGGTCAGTATATGGGATTTTGTTTACAGTTTACAGTTAATTCTATGATGCACAAACATATGCATTATTAAATGTTGGGCAAATACAATCTTCAGGACAACTAATCTAACCAGTTCTAACGATTGGAATCATTTTAGAATATTAGATGAATAAAAAAAATTCAGGTCTTTTCTTAGATAATCTTTCATTGTCAGCAAATCAGATTCTTAGAAAGCAACAAGGTTAGAATCTTACAAGTTAAATGTCCTATCAGACATCAGTTTTAATCTCCATGAGAGATAAGAGAGAAAAAAAATATCAATTCTTTTAATTAAAGTTTGCTAATATCCTAAAAATATTTTATGAAACAGATTTTTCCAGCAAAATAGAGTGAAAATTTTAGATCTGGAATGTAGCCTGAAAAAAAAAAAAAAAAAAAAAAAAAAATGAAGAAAGCAAAACAAAAACAACAACAACAAACATGAACTTGAAAATGGACACGGAGAAATGAACACGAGCAAAATCCATTACAGTTGAGTAAAGAAAACTAAAACAACCAAAGCGGAATTGTGTGTAAATATGTGGAGATTTATTTGTAACACTGTGGTTCCTTCCTAAGTAGACACAAGACTCAGGGAAATCAGTTGTTGGCATCCAGCTGCTGACTACAAATGACAACATCATAAGTGATCAAACCCCACAGTAGAAGACATCAGATTGCATTGGCACATTCATCCTGTGAGATTAGAGTAGCCCCACCCCCCTGTCTCTACACTCACACACACACATATAGGCAGATGCACACACACACATACACACTCTCAAACTCAGTTACCGCTGCAAAAAGCCAGGCTACTGGTGGTAGAGTTTTTATTTCTACAGTTCCAACTAGACTTAGAAAACTTCTCACTAAAGCAGACTTCAAAACAATCCTTTATCATAAAAAGTCCCATTCTCTCAACGCCAATCTCGATGCAATTTGAATTTCATTCTTTGTCAGTCAGTGGTTGAGACTCTACAAGTTGGGGTTTTTTTTTTTGTTTTTTTGCTAAATAGTAGTTTCATGTACATCATGATGGAGGGATGATGACAGTGAGTGAGATAGAGAGAACGAGAGAGAAATAAGTTAGAGAAAAACCAAGAGAGTCAAATGAGATTGAGAGAAATGGCTATCATGAAATAAACTACGTGTGATAAAGAGAGGGAGAGAGAGAGAGAGAGAGAGGGTGATTATATATATATATATATATATATATATATATATATATATATATATATATATATATAAAAAGAGAGTGAGAGAACGAGAGAGAATGAAGATGAGGAGGAATAACGAACCAAGCATATTCCTTCTTTCTTTTTTTTTTTTTTCGGTGGTGAGTCATATGGTTTGAGAATGATTATGAATTCGGATGGAATGAACAAATTTCAGTTTTAGACGTCAAATTAGAGCAAATTAATGGAAGTGGGGAGGGGGTAAAAGAAGGGTGACTGATCACATCGTGTGATGCTTTGTCAAATTTTTTTTTGTTTGTTTGTTTGTTTGAAATGAATTCTTTATTTTATATATATATATATATATATATATATATATATATATGTTTTTTTGTACGTTTTTTTTTTTTAAAAAATCATTATATTTTTGTTTGGACATGAAGAAATGTTTTTAAAATAATAAAGAAAAATCCAATTGCTGCTCAGTGAGTGCCGTCTTTGAAAGGAGATTGAAATGATATCTACTTCAAAATGGAACCATGAGAACATTAAAGAAGAAATCAAGTCACGCTTAATAGTCAAAATCTTCGTCTGATTCCTCTTCAAAATATTTGACAGGTGCTCGGGAGCGGCCAGTTGTAGTGCGAGCTTGCAAATTGTTCAGCTTGTCTGTTTTACCATCAACAAAATCATCTTCGTCGTCAGAGTCAGCAGCCACCTACAAGACCAAGATTCAAACATTACTCAAATTTATCAGAATTATTCAAAGATATACAATAAGAGAGAGAGCTTTTAACAGATAGAGAGAAACAAAACCATGAATGTCCTTAAATTATCCGATGTTGATAATTTCCAGCTGTTCTCATCATTGTTATTGCTCTCTTGAGATGTTAAATGCAAGTCAAACAGCCTGGGCATCAATATCTGAACTGGGAAACTATCACTCCAGAGATGGAGTCGTTCATCATATTAAATGCACAATAGCAGCGGAACTGAGCAGTTCAAAGACAAAGTGTTTGAATGCAAAGAGGAAGGGACAAAGTCTCATTCTTTTGTATAAAAAAAAACAAGATGCCTAAATTTACAGGCCTACAATTGGATATTAACCTACAGGAAATAGTGTCCTGGATTATTTCTTTTCAAATCTTTGCAGAAGTAACATTTGAAGAATCTTGTCAAACTTTTAAACTGCTGAATGTAAATGACAACTGACTACAGGGTTAGGGTTAGTGAGCCAATTTGACCATTACTATAGAGCGGTTTGATCTTCACTCCATACATGTGGCCTTGTGCCAAATTAAGCTTAGTAAATAACAACAACTACACAATATTTCTTATTCATGCAACTGTTTTAGCCAAAAATAAAGAGAAGTAACTTCAAAATTATCATATTCAGTGGGCTACGATAAGCTTTTAGCCACCCTTGATTACAGCAATTTTGTCTTGTGTAATAATGTCTCTTTTTCTTAAGACAATACTGTGTTAGTATCAAGCTACTCTCATCTATGAATAATAGTTGACTTATATTTTGCAATGAAAGTTGAGAAGTAAGGAAATTGGTGAATTTCAACGATGACAAATAATAGGATGTCATCGGTATGGCAAGTCAAATAAAGAAAATGCTAGGTTTTTCCAGGTTAATTATCAAACGGTTAATAATATCAAGAAATTTAATGAAGAAGGCCATTGTCGCGTGCAACAATGTTTAGGAAGACTAAGCATCATGTCTGAGCAAAGGAAAAGGGTGCTAAAGAGGGAAGTCATCTAAAACTGTCGTCAGAGCATCAAAGATGTCACCAACAGTATGGAAATGTTGCCATATGTGGCGAGAAAGACTCTGAAAGAGCTAGGCTATCAAAGAAGAGTTGCAAGAAAGAAGCCCTTGATTTAACAGGAACAGGCGTATGGACTGGGCGAGAGAATTCAAGAGCAAAGATTATGAATTTCGGCAGTTTGTAATTTGGTCAGATGAAAGTAAATTCTGCCAGTATTTGAATTTGAGGCAGGTTTATATTTGGAGAAATCAGAACATGACTTGGAATACTGAATGTCCACAGGCAAACATGAAACATGGAGGGATTGGAGAATTGGTGTAGGGTGCTGTCTAGTTTGGAGGGAAATCTGAGCTGATTTTTGTTGACGAGCGGTTGAATGGCTCAAAATACTGTCAAATATTAGAGAAAGGACTACTCCCACGATTTGAATCCAATCAGATTGACAAGAATGTCTACCTTTTTCAAGAAGATGAAGCACCATATCATATGAACAAAGTAATAAAGAACTGGAAGGAATCGCAAATCACTGCCATGGGGTTGCCCAAAGTCTTGACATGAATCCAACAGTGCACATTTAGGAGCACCTTGACCGAAAACTTCGAGAGCAGGCAACCAAAATCATGTGAGTGGCAACCCTTAAAGAAACATTTCTAAAGGAGTGGAAAAATATGGATCAGACAATTGTTGATAACTTGATCAAATCCATGAAAAATCGAATACAAGCATTGAAATTAGGAAATGGAGGACCTACCCTATACTAGTTCCAAATACTGTTTATTTATGTTGAGTTGGGATTACGTAATTAAAGTTTGAATTTGGATGTAGTTTATTTCTCCTGACAACTGTTGATTAAAGCAAAATGTTCTCACAAAACATGATTTTTTTGTTGCCATTTTTTAAAACTTTAGCCAGGAAAACCAGGGTGGGGTGGGGTGATGGATTTGTATTTTTTGCATTAACAAATGTATATTGTATATTTTCTCAGAGCATATTACAAAAGGAAATTACCTTTTTCGATTTGGTTACTTTTGACTTTTTCGGTTCAAATCCTTCATCAGAATCGCTGGTTTCTTTCTTCTTTGCTTTTCTCTTCTTTGGTGGTTTTTCTGAACAGAAACAAAAAAAAAAGTTTCAATCTCAAAGTGCTTATAACCAGCACAGAAGTTAGAATACAAAATTATGCCAGATATTATTCATGAGGAGTGAAGTTTGTCACCAATCTTCATATTAAGGTACATCATTTAAATTTGGATTTGATTTTAGAAATACATAGGAGTTAAACAATTTTTTTAAAAATTGTTCTCATCAAGCTTAGAGAATTGGCATTCAAAATAGAAGCAATTAAATCATTCGTAAAATTAACATAAAAAATTTAAACAGTATAAAATCTGGGCTAATGATGGAGGTTGGGGGGGTTTGAAAGATTGTACTAAATGATGACAAAGAAAAGGACATTTTACGGCAGAGATGGAGAGAGAGAGATTTTTTTTTGTTTTTACAATAAACAATTTAATTTTAGTTAAATCAATGTTAGTCCAAAACGTTTTCATGGCAAATTTTGTAATTATATTTTTGGAAAATAAAAGAATCAGAATATAAAAAGATTTCTCTAATGTTGATAGATTTTACAAATATTTAGTTTTGACGACAGAAATTGTAATAATGAAAGTACAAGTTACTGTAGCAGTAGATATTTTGTAGATATGAAAAAATTACTTAAAAAGAAAGAAAAAATAATCAATACTGAAGAAAATACAAACAAATTTTAGTAATTTTATAAAAAAAAAAAAAAAAAATTTGATGAAGACTTTGAAAGCAAAATGTCAAAAGATGATACCTTTACTAAGTCCATTCTACAAAGCAAAATGAATAAAATGGAGAAAGATAAATTACAAAGACTCGAAGCAAAAATGTATCTGGGTTGACATTTTGATTTTAAAATCAGCATCTAACAATTATTCAAAACAGTTTAAATTTTATTACAGAATATAAAAATACTGAAATAATATTAGAGAGTTAATTATTTGGGAAAAAAATTACATTAAAAAAGATTAGAAGCGAAATCTGCATGAAATAATGAGCTTCAATAGAAGTGATAGCTACCTTTTTTTTCTCTTCATTCTTTAAAAGATTCAATAATAATTAAAATCCTCATTACGAGGGTCATCAGAATTGATACAATATCCTCTGACAACTGGCAAAGTTTTTTCATGATCAGCAGAGCTCATTATTTTAAGCAAAAAAAATAAATAAATAAAAGTGAACACTGAATATCTCAAAGCAAATTACTCTCAGTTGCTTCTTTGTTGTCTGCACTGGACGTGCTTGGTTGATTATAATTTGAAGACATTCTTCTCATGACCTCAATAATTGATGGTTGTTTGGTTCCTAGATAAACAACATGTAATAATGAGGAACAAAAAGGAAACTTAATAGAAACCTAGATTTCATTTTCAAATAATGGAAAGAAAATGTTAGAACTCCAACCATTTTTTTAAAAGACTTCTATTATAACTATTCTCTTAATTTTTTCTTTAGAGAAAGTCTTTCATTTTTTCTTCTTTTAATTCTAATCTTATTAAAATCCAGGTTGACAATGGCTGTCTGCATTTAACTTTATAAGAAAAGCCAGGAATACATGAGAAAAGAAAATGAGTTATAGTCATAACTGACATGTTAACATTAAAATGTGAAGGAATTTACCAGTTTTCTCTGTTTTTTCTTTTTTAGGAGCCCTCTTTTTGGGTTGTTTCTTTGGTGGTTCATCTGAAATGAATGGAGGTTCCTTATCCTCATCACTGGACACATCAAAAGTTAATGTACCTTGAAAAGGAAATAAGACCTCATGTTTATTTTTCAAAGGATTGCAATATAAATTCATTTTTATATGGTCATTAATCAGAAGTTTTGTATGTGTGTTTTAAAGTAAATACAAAAGTAGTTAACATTGTTTCATCATCAACAATGTTTTTGTTTTTTTAAGAAAACTCGATGACATTTTGATTATAATTGTGCATTCTTTTAAAAGAGAACGATTACAAAAGTTGAGCAAATAGTGAAGTAAACAACGAGTTTAGCCATGCAGCAAAATTTCCAGTCAAGTTCCTTGTTAAGAAAAATATCTTGGCTTTTTCAAAGCAGCATTCAAAGAAACCAATTGAAAAGTAACAATTTATCCAAATTCCAGTAATTTGTAAGAAATAATTTTTCAACCCCAAAAAGAATGCCTACACTGCTACAAAAAGAGCGTTTACTTTGCGATAGTGAACGATGAGCTCGATTTTGCTAGAACTTTTTTGTTTTGAATTTTCACAAATTTAATTGGTCACCAAAAATATGCTGAAGGAAATGAATTGAGAATGTTGACAAATTTCTAATTTCCTAACTTTTGAATAATTTTCTAAGGTCATGTTTTAAATCACATATAAGAGTTGAGAAATTCACCAGTAAATCTTTCTGCATAGTTCAAATTTGGACATCTTTAATCTGAAAATCAGCAAACCATTCCTGACCCACGTTTACACTTTCTGCACAATTACTTTTCACCTTTTGTTGATTCATTGCTTTACTTCCAATCAAATTAGTTCTCAGATTAAACAAAGAGTAAACAGTGTTGAATGCACATTTTATATTCAGCCATTAAAAACCATTTTTACAAGAATGAAGTTAAATTACCAATTTTTTTTGCAAGCAATTCATAAAAGGTAAAACTATATATATATATATAAGTTGAGCAAATCTCAAAAGACATTTCTAAGATTTCCCTAATATGGGACAAAATGTGCTACTGGGAACTTCTGCATCAATCTGATATATTTACATAACTTTAATAAAGAAAAGGAAGTTGGCTTTTTTTTTTATTATTATAGTTACAAAAGAATGAAATGTCTGGATCCAACAAGTAATTTTTATCAAAATGTTTGTGATAAACACTTTCAACTGTACTTGTGGCTATTATCAAGATTAGAGAATAATAGTTAATGTTATTAATTTTTTAAACTTTTAGTTTTCTAATTATGCATATGGTTGAAAGAGTAAAGGTCCAAAATGTTTGCGCAATATATACTTTCACTGAATTGTGATCAGAATTTTTTTTACATAAACATTCTTTATCTTTCAATAAAACTTGTTTTAAATCAATGACCTCATACTTAAATTAAATGTACATTAAAACCCATTATCAAGGCATATTGTATTGTTCTGAAGTTTTCATAAATGCCATCAATGTCCTGTTATTTGCCTTTTTTTTCTTTTTCTTAAGAGATGACTGCTCAAAATTTTATCTTCCTGATTATCAAAATATTCTTTGAAAAATTAAAATCTTGTAGATAGAATAGGAAATTGCTGGTAACTAATTAGCTGGATTTGAAGTTATCTTTCAAATTAGGTCTAAATATATCATCAGAAAGAGATCAATTTTCAGACTCAGTCAAAACCATGCATATACTCATACAGATTTCCAACATTCTACATATTTTCAAATTACACAAGTTAAAAAAAAAAAAAAAAAAAAAAAGAGTAAAAAAGTTTCAGTAAAATTATGTCATTTTATTATTTTAAGGCTTTTGAGTGCTTATTCATTTTTTAATATTTTTTTTTAATACTTGCATAGAATATGAAACAAGTAAAATAAAATCTGATAGCTGCATAAGACTTTCTCTGTATCGTAATTTTCATAGCAAAGGGACATAATGGATTTGTTTTTACACTTTGAACTGTAAAGGCCTTAAAGAGGTTTGATAGATAAAGAAATAGGCAAAGAGAAAGAAAAGAACTTTTCATTATCCTCTTTATATAAGAATATAAAGCTACACATTTCATTTCTTCTGAAGGGGGTGTAAAAATAGTAATTCCCATTGAACTGCTCTCACATTCAATGAGAGAAAGGCTAGAAAGTTGATTTGAAGACCAAAATTGGTTACTAAAATATCCCCCCAAAAGTGTAGAAAGGGAATAAACAAGATATTTTCTCAGCTTGATCTCGAGAGAAAACCAAATATTCTTCACATGGTTAAAATGACACAAAGACATCTATGAACAAATTGTTTTTGAAGGAAAAAGAATGAAATTAATATTCAGGAAAGATTTACCAACTTATTAATTGCTTCAGAAAAGATAAAATGATCTCAAAAACGGTATGGGTTGTGATTAATTATCCCAATTCTTGAAGATATTTAAACCAAGATCTGTTATCGAGGTGAGTAGGTAGTCATCACAGTTCCTGACATAGTAAACTGAGTTACAATCATCTTTGCAATCAGTATAGATTTCAAAGAGACTAAGCTCTTCATTGTAAAGCCAAACTGGTGTCAATCAACATAAAATATTCTCCATCACTATGACAATGTAAACTCATGAACCCAATTTGTACAAAAGAGCAACATATACAACATGTGTGAGAGAGAGAAAAACGTTGGATAACCGAGTAGCCCTAACATAATTTGGGAAGAAAAAAAAGAAAAAGAAAAGCAAATCACATGCACAGGTCTGAATTGCTAGGATTCTATATAAAACAACAAGTGCATAATGAAATTTTGTGCCAGTGTGCATGTAAGGACACTTACTTTTTGCTGGTTCCTTTGGAAGTGTGGTCTTTGCGGAAGATTTTACATTTGACACTCCAAATACAGCATCGTCTCTTGCTTTCTTGTTTTGCTCATTGATACGGTTAAAAAGGTCATTTTTTTCTTCATCTGAAGAATCATCGTAAGTTACGGGACTAGCGGCTCGGGTTGGAGATGAACGCTTTTTCTCTCTGTAACACAAGAATAATAAAAATATATATTTATACTTGATTGTAATATTTATCTTGAGAGATTACAAGCTGATGTTGCATTAATTTTAATTTGGAAACAGATTATAATTTTTGAAATCTTTTACAAGATTTTGCAAATTGTTTTTATCTGATGGTTTGCAATTTCAGTTTATCACAAGTCCCAGTAAGGTCATTCTTTGGAAATCTGTTACATGATTATTCAATGAGGGGACTGCAAAATATGGAAGGATACCAGTACAAATTTATTAAAGTTGACAAATAGTTTTAGAATAGACTTAAATTTTATTTTTATGATTTTTTTTGCCATTGTAAAAGAAAAAAAATTCATTTTTCTTTCTTCCTCAAAGAGAACGTGTTCATTTGAATGACTTACTTATTATTAACTGCTGGGAAAGAATCCTCCTCTTCCTCCTCTTCATTTTCATTATTTACATCAGAGTGTTGGTCATCATTGTCATTGATTGGAGAGGAAGATCGTTCTTGAGGAATTTCAGGCAAATACTCCTCTTCATCCTCATCATCGCCAAAGTTGTATTTCACAGCTTGAGCTGGAAAAGGACAAATAGAAAGTCAAAACCTACCAAGAAAAACTGAAATAGAGAAATGTCTGAGGACTTGAAGGAAGATAAAAAAAAACATTTTTATTATTTTTTTTATTAATGAAAATGTTCATAGCAATGTCTGAGAAGAAAAAAAAGATAATAGTCAAAGTATGATTCAGGCAAATCTTGGTTATCAGATTTCCCTGGTGTTGGGAGAGAGCACACTGGATTCAACACAATTTTGAGTTGTAAAAATTTTTTGAAAACATGAGAAAGAGAAAATTTTTTTCTTAATTGAGAGAGAAGGAAAACATCTTAAATACTGGGAGATATGATAATTACAATGACATTGCAATAAAATGTGTAAAATAAGAAAAAAAAAAAAAAACGATCCTCTAAAAAGAAATGGTGTCAGTGTAAAGGCAAAAATGAATTAAACTAAAGTTAGTAAAGATAAGTGGTTGAAGAGAACATCAACAATAAGAAGTTAGATGAAACATGTTTGAAATGTTAGTCATTAACTGTCAGTGAAAAGATGAAAAACTGAAATAGGGATTATTTCTGTAGAACCCTTGAGGCTTAAGATAAAGAAATTAAATATTTCAAAGTTCTTCAATAAAACAATTTTTGTAGGAGGAAAAAAAAAATTTTTTTTTCAAATTTCCTTCAAAATCTTCCTTGTAATATAGCATCTGAATATCACTTAATGTTGTTGACAAAAAATAAAATTAAAACAACCTGAAAGATGGTGGTGGGAAGCAGTGGTTTTGATAACATTTTCAAAGTCTTTGGTCATCTTAACCTTTAGCCCTCTGCATTACTAATATTATTTCCCTTTCCATTGCATTATCCTTATTGTTAATTTCACTCAAAGGTGTTTTCTGTTGCCATAGCAAGATGTAACACAACTATGAAATTAAAACAAATTCGGGTATCATCAGTGTCACCTTCTGTGACAGAATAAACCTTTTGTATAGCAAATCAAGTCACAGAGTGATAAAGGTTAAAACACTTATACTAGTAGTGCACAGATGGTGGCTGAGCTCTACACAGGGATGCAGACAGGTGACATGTGCTATGGAGATGCACACCTGCTCATTGTGTGAGAGGGGAGAGATTGGTTTGTTGATCATTTTGGACAACTTCTGTGCATGTTATACTGGTAGTGCTTTGATGCCAGTGTTAGTGGCCAAATGAAATATCTCCAGGTTGTGGTCATTATTATTGTAGCCATAGACAACTGGAAATCATTTCCTTGCAATGGAATTATGGAAACATGCGCCTAAAGCCAGATTTAATGCCATGAGTTGTGCACATCTTCAGTGTTGACCTAAAAGGTCAACAAACAGGCTGTATGAGCAGAGATTCTGCCTTTGTGCAAGTGATGATCATTTTGGTTGTGCAACGTAGACCCAGGGAGCATATCTTTCAGAGTATTTTCCCACGACAGGCACACATTCAAACCCATACCATCATTATGTAAGTTATCATAAATTACAACTATTTCTCTCACACCTTTGGTTTTGTGGAAGATATGTTGAACTATGTCATGTATATGCAGAACATTAATATTCAATCCATTCTGCTGACAATCTTGCAACAGGATGGTGATGTGTTGTTCCGAAAGCATAGTGCCTGCTAACAAGTCACCCAAGTTACTCCACATACTCTCTGAGATGCATGATGGGATGATGCTTAGTAAGCCCACCTACAACCTGTAGCTACTTTGTGTCAACAGGTATGGAATAATGTATTGCAGTATGGTATTCACTAATTTTAAGACCATGAATCCAAGTACGCACCAGTGTGAAAGATGGCAAGCAGAGGATGGCATTAATATGAAGGCCAATTATTGTTCAGATAACCCTTATTTTGGAACCTCGACAGACATGTATTGATCTGTAATCCAGCTACGTTAACCAGACATTGAATTCTATAGTCAGGAAGTTGTAATTTTATTTTCTCTCAGTGAATGACTGAGTGAATGTTTTAATGTTGGGAATATGTTTTTTGTCAATGTGGGTGAGATCAGGTTTTTTGTCATTTTTTATCAATACTTCAACTGGAGATGCTTGGAAATTTAAGCAGGTTTTCAATACATACATATAGGGGAAAAAAATATAGTTTGACTTTGTTAGTTGTAGAGTAATGGACACACACACATATATATATATATATATATATATACCCTGAAGACACCCACAGGCAGCTAGATTTGAAGTGTACAGATTGTGGTAGAGTGTGTTTGTTGATGGCTGGTCTAAGGAGTCACCTGAGAGTGCATCAATGGAGGGTGACAATTGACTACAAAGCTGTAGATGTCCAGCAATTGAAACGTGATATTTGTGGTAAGCCATGCAGATCCAGAAGCAGTTTCATGTGTAATTTTGCATGATAATGTAACACCTTCGAGTGCCCTGTTTGTGCCAGAGTATGTAGGTCCCTAGCTGAGCTAAAGAGCCACATTCATTCAACACATCAATAAATATTCTCCAAAATGATATGTAGTAATGTACTTGGACATGAGCTGGCAACCACTACAAACACACACACAAAATAATTTTCCAAGAATCTTGCAATGTAAGTATTAGGAATAATAACAAAAATACCAAGCATAATGCTCCTGTATAAAATAAAAACTGATCAAATTTGGAGTGTGTGTGTGCGCATGTCTATATAGATATGGTAGGCTGATGAAAGAAATTTGATAGACAATAATATTTATTGTCTATTAGGCATTTGGACCAAATAAAAGATAAGAAAAGATATTAAAAAAACAGAATATCTTCGGATACACCTGTGTCCTTTCTCATTTTTGTGGGATTTTTTTTTTCTTTTTGCATATGTTATTTTATTGATAAAATCTAGTAGTTTTGGACTAGTTTCTTGTGATTAAAACTGAGAAGAGTTTTGTAGATGGCCTTGTCTGGAAACTATTCATTGAGTATGCCTAAATTCCTATTTAAACCAAGAACATGTGAATTTATTTTAAAGTTTAATTTGGATGTATGCAACAAGTTTTTATGATGATGGTTCTGAAATCAAAGTGCATTGGTTTATTGCATAAAACTAAAAATTAAACTGAAGAGGATTACAAAATATTTGCATGGATTTGGTTTCTTCTTTTAACCAAGTTCGGTATTAATTTTTTTTTTTTTTTTAACGATAAAAAGTAGTTTAATAGCATGTAAATCGTATTTATGTTCCCCTTAAATTTTAAGAGTACACTATAGTTATAAATGTAGCTAGAAACAATTTAATAAAGATAGTTTCCTATGGATGATGAGAAACATTTTTTTGTCAATGAATCACAAGAGAGCTTCTTGATTTTGTCGAAATGGCCAGAATACAGCGGCCTCTCTGTTTTGAGGGTTGGAAGGGCCCTACTAACAACAGTTTTGTTTTGTTACTTTTCTGTATCATTTTAGTTTCTTACTGGGTTCATCTCCCTTCCCTTTCATTCATCCGTAAATTTTTAATTGTACATATATAATCATTATATTTTTATGGCATGGGGCGCATTTTGTGGGTCCCCCTTGAGAGGATGTATGGTGAATGTGGAAATTGTAATGTATGAATGGGTCGTGAATCGGATTAGCTAGGTATAAGATTGTTAATGAAGACCAGCCTTTTACCCCCTCCCCTTTTATGGCCTTGGACCATAATTGTATTTCTTAATACAATAAATATAGTCACTGATTGATCCCAAGTAAATTTTATGAAAAGATCAGGCGAACTTTGATATGAATACGGAAGAAAAGTTTTCCTCTCACCCTTTCGAATCAATCTGGTAGGATCTACAATCAACAAGAAACCAACAGATATTAAATGAGAATTAAGTAGCAATCTTTTCATCTGATGAGGGAAAACAACAAAATTAAAGATTTTTCCTTTTGGTATTTTTTTTTTTGTTTAAGGAATTCTGGGAGGAAAAAGAGAAAAAAAGAGACAGGGGAAGGAGAGGGAGAGAGACAGGGGGAAGGAGAGGGAGAGAGACAGGGGAAGGAGAGGGAGAGAGACAGGGGAAGGAGAGGGAGAGAGACAGGGGAAGGAGAGGGAGAGAGACAGGGGAAGGAGAGGGAGAGAGACAGGGGAAGGAGAGGGAGAGAGACAGGGGAAGGAGAGGAGAGAGACAGGGGAAGGAGAGGGAGAGAGACAGGGGAAGGAGAGGGAGAGAGACAGGGGAAGGAGAGGGAGAGAGACAGGGGGAAGGAGAGGGAGAGAGACAGGGGAAGGAGAGGGAGAGAGACAGGGGAAGGAGAGGGAGAGAGACAGGGGAAGGAGAGGGAGAGAGACAGGGGAAGGAGAGGAGAGAGACAGGGGAAGGAGAGGGAGAGAGACAGGGGAAGGAGAGGAGAGAGACAGGGGAAGGAGAGGGAGAGAGACAGGGGAAGGAGAGGAGAGAGACAGGGAAGGAGAGGGAGAGAGACAGGGAAGGAGAGGGAGAGAGACAGGGGGAGGAGAGGGAGAGAGACAGGGGAAGGAGAGGGAGAGAGACAGGGGAAGGAGAGGGAGAGAGACAGGGGAAGGAGAGGGAGAGACAGGGGGAAGGAGAGGGAGAGAGACAGGGGAAGGAGAGGGAGAGACAGGGGGAAGGAGAGGGAGAGAGACAGGGGAAGGAGAGGAGAGAGACAGGGGAAGGAGAGGGAGAGAGACAGGGGAAGGAGAGGGAGAGAGACAGGGGAAGGAGAGGGGAGAGACAGGGGAAGGAGAGGAGAGAGACAGGGGAAGGAGAGGGAGAGAGACAGGGGAAGGAGAGGGAGAGAGACAGGGAAGGAGAGGGAGAGAGACAGGGGAAGGAGAGGGAGAGAGACAGGGGAAGGAGAGGAGAGAGACAGGGAAGGAGGAGGGACAGGGGAAGAAAATGAGAAGAAAAATGAAAAAAAAAAAAAAAAGAAAAAAAGAGGAATATAAATATATATAAATATTTTTTTAACTAACCTGCTGCCCTTCTTGGTATCCTTTCTCTTGATGCTGAGACAGAATCTCCACCAGTCTCAAGATCTGATAAACTACTGATTGATCCTTGATCAGAATCATCAGATTCCCAAGGCTTCTTTTTCTTCCCACCTTTGCCCTTCTTGCCTTTAGGGGAGCCAGTGTTTTGACGAGGTGCTCGTGGTTGACGTTGTTTCTTGGCTAAAAACAAACACATGGTGACCATGTTTAATTTATATCTGCTCATCAAATCAAGTAACAGCTTATCATGTGTCCTAATTTATACAGTCTTGTCACCGCAGTGTTGGTTCCACATTATGACATCATATAGCAAACGATAAATTATATAAGCAAAATTAGATCTCACAAATAATTGCATGTAAGACAAAAAGTGGTTTTAAATTAATTTAAACTTTCAAGATATTCTGGATACAATTGTATTTCTCAAGTTCTGCTATTTTCCCCTAAATGTTCATCACAACATTTTGCAAGGTCTTCATCAAAAATGCCCTATATACTTTTTAAAACAAGTGCCTGAAAACCAAGTTACAGGTTGATATGAGCCCTTTAAAATTGGGTTGACAGAACTGTTTGGAAATCATCAATGGTTATGCTAGCACAAAAGTCAGTACACTCATACCGAGGGGTGTATGAGTGTGTACTAGCTTGGTTCAAAATACCCATCATGCCAGATCTCTCCCAGAAACTGTAACTAAGGTCTGCTCAGAATGGTGTATAGGTTGAGCAGCCGTCTGTAATGGGGATTGACTAGCCACCCTGGTAGATAGGTGTACTTGCCAACGAGAAGTAGCTGGTCATTATTTATTCATTATCTATAAAAATATAGTATCCAAAAAATATTTTAATTCAGTTAAGATAATCCCTACTGTCAAGTAAAAAAAAAAAAAAAAGACACACACACACGCTGTGAAGGAGAAATAACAGTGAAAATTCAATATGTTGTTGAGCTAATTTGAAAATATAAATGCATTCATTTTAGGATCAGGTATCCCTGCAAAAGCAATAAAAAAAAAAAAAAAAATCTTTCATAGGACAGTGAACAGGCACAGATTGATTGATACCTTTTCTATGGCTTACAATCTCTTTTGCAGGGAGAGAAACAACATGCACACAAATATAGAAAAAAAAGAAAAAAGAATAATGGAGGAGGAAGAACTGAACTTACGTTTTGCCTCTCCAAGTCTTTCAATCAGGCTTTTGCCTTCTTCACCATTTTCATCACCTATTTCTTCTTTCATTTCTTTCTTTATCTGAAAAATGAAGTTAATTCTTATATTGACTCAAAATTATTAATAATCATAAAGCAAGAGCATTCAAACTTTTTTTTTTTTTTTTCAACCACGACTTAACCATATCCACTTCAAATTAAAAATCTCTAAAAAGAAAAACTACTTTCACTATAAAACAAGCATAAAGTAAATTTTTTCTATTTTACCAGCAAACCAACCCTAAGGGTCATTTTGCACCAAATCAGTCCGTTTTAAGACTTGTTTTTATTATGTGTGTATTTTGTAGTCAAATTTCTTTATAAATCGTTAAGTGTGAGGATGTAATTCAGTTTTAGTTGCATTTTGTAGCCAGGTGTTTATTCAGTTTCCTTTTTATATTTTGGGGCAGAGTTTTATTTTTAAGGATTCTAGAATGGCTTTGGATTTCACACTCACAAAGAGGGCCCTAGGGCTGGGTATAGTATACAAGTATTTTCTTATAAGTGCCAGGTTTTTTTTGCAGTTAATTAAAAAATGTTTGACAGTGAATACTTCAAAGGAAGTAGTGGGTGGGTCCGATTTTGATACTTGTAAGTGACATATCATCTTTTGAGTTTCTGGTACTGTGATGTTTGTACAGTCAGAATGGGTTTATTTGATATAGATATGTGTGTGTGTGTGTTCTATTATTTTTACCATTGGTTGAGGATGTAAGAGTTAATTGTTGCTTTCATGTCTGTAAAGGGATTTTTTTTTTTAAATTTGATATATGTTCGTTGAGAGGGATTCCCTGGTTGCCTTATAAGCTCTGCTACCCCAATATGGTTAGGGATCTATGATAATGATGTGAATGTTACCAAGTAAATGGCCAAATGGCTCTGAGGTAGATACGACGGCATTCGAGCCATGTCACAATTTACAAAATGCAAAATCAATCGATAGCCAGCCAGAGAAAACTTTCAAGAATTCATACAAAATATAATCCTTTATTTTCAACTTGGATTTGAAAGAGGAGGAGGGGAAAAAAAAGAAACTGAGAAGAGAAGCCATAATCGACTCAAAAACCAAATTCAGTGTAAATTGGAAGACCAGTGGATGCTCAGTAAAGAGACATTTGCTCATTATAAATACAGAAACCTTTTTGTTTAGAGACATTAATGCAGTGATTCTTAATCACCATGACAGCACACTAGTGTGCTGTGCGATCCTCTTAAGACTGCCGCAAAATACTGAAGAAATTGAGAAAAAAAAAAAAAAAAAAAAAAACACCACCAAGCACAGATTTCACAGTAAATAAGCTGCACAAATAATTGAATAAAAAATGGAAATAAACCAAGTTCATATTTGTGTGTGTATTTTTTTTAAAAATCTATACTCTTTTTAAAATGTTGCTAAGTGTGCTGTGATATTTTCATTTGCTGCTAGGTGTGCCATTGCTTAGAAAGGTTGAGAAACACTGGGTTAATATATTTACTGAATCAGCCAACATGGAGGAAAGTGTGCCTTGTTTGGAAAATGCATTTGGACTTTTTCTCAATCTTTGCCCACAAAGTAAAAACAGCATTTTGCAAAAAATACTGATACAATGATTTTATTATGAGCATGTCATTTAATGTAAATATCATTTCATAAAAATGTCAGCCATATCTACAGTAAATGTATGACCAACACTGGAAAATTATAATTTTTTTTTTTTTTTTTTTTTAAAACCAAAGGAGACTTATCTGATGACATGACAAATGTGCTCCTGTGCAAGTATAAGCAGTGAGAGTATAAAGTGGACTAACAAAATGTCTGAGAAGCAACATTGGAGCTAGACAGGAAAGTGACCAAGTCAAAATTTGGACATTGGAGTGAAGCGATTGATTGATACTTAGAAATCATTAATCAGTCATCTCAACCAGCCAGAGAGAGAGAGAGAGAGAGAGATCATTAATAGAAATGATGATTTGATTAAGAGGATCCCAGAGAAGAGTTGGACAAAGGAAGAGTTAGCTGAGGCCACTGGAGGAAACCAAGAGCTAGGACTAATTTCTCAACCGGCCTTTTGCTATGAAGAGAAGATTTACAAACTTAAAAAGTCTTAACCACATAAAAATTAAATCACTGAATATATTAAGTTAATTACCAAACTAGGGATGGTTGACCATGTAAGAACTACCTGACCAGCCATAGTTAAGAAGTAACAAAGTACCACTGGGGAAGAGTTAAGAATCAAACTTGTAACCCTAATTGGAATAAACACATCATTTTGGTTTTCTGTCTGAATTGTTTTTGCTACTATAAAATGTTTTTTTTTATTTTAATCTGTGACTGGATTTGTTTGGCTTTGATAGCCATTTCAACCAGCCAAAGCAAAGACCTCCTTAGATCTAAAATAAACAACAATGTAAGGAGGAGGCCAAGTAACAAAGACAAATCAAACTGTGGAGTAGACAGTCACATCACAATTATATATATTCACATATGAGAGGTGAGAGGATGCGTTTATATAAAAATAAAAAGGCAGCATTTATTAACATCTTTACTGACCTGTTGTCGTCTTTTGGAGGAAGCTTCTTTTTCTGCCTTGACTTTAGTTGCAAGATCAATGACTGGCATGATACGGCGACCCATAGGTGAAGGAAGTGTCTCTTCAAGATTAATTTTCTTTTGTTTCACCCCACGGCCTTTTTGGGTCTTCTGGGTTTGAATAAATCCGGCTTTCTCATCTTCTCTTTCTTGTTCTTCAATACGCTGTAGCATAAGTAGTGGAGGGGGGAAAAAATGTAGATAAATAAAAGTGCTTAAAATCACAAAATCAAATGAAGCTATGAAGAAAGCATAAGGTTGAAATAAAAGAAAAAGTGTTAAACGCTGAAAAGAGGGAAAATAAAAAGTCACTTACATCCAGTTCAGTAAGGAAAGCTTCCAAATCATCTCTATAAAGATCTTCAGATCTCTTTCGTCTGAGTTTGTCAAGTTCATCAGCCTAAAGGAAAAAGAAAAAAATTTTGGTGTTTAAGCCATTTCTCTATTAGTTCAAGTGAAAAGCAGGGAGAAATGCAGGAGTTGAGAAAGATGGACTGCAAATATATTATGTCAAAATTTCTAAGCCATTAATAGCATTTCATAAAAAGTAAAATAGACATTCACTTTTTTTCGGGGGGAGGGGGGGGAAGACAAGACATAATACCTAAAAAACAAAGACTACAAAAAAGAAAAAGAAACTTGTGTGCACATACACACAAAATTTTCAATGTTCGTCTATTCAAACTGTATTGTCAAAGCTTTTGTTAAATTTCAAAAAGGTCAGAAATGTAATTAATATATAATTACTGATAAAAGGTAAGTTTTGATAGAATACAGTTGAAAAATTTTGGGAAGAGAAAATAAAAAAAAAAATAAAAAAATAAAATAGTGTAAGCGAAGGTGACATTTCATTAATGAAAAGACTGGATAAAATCAAGAAATTCAATGATTTGATAGTAAAAAGGTTCAGGTTGAAACCAGTTTGAATCAAAATAGAAAAATATTTGGAAAACAAAAATTCAAAGATTTCAAGAGACCAACTTTAACATTTAGCACTCTGCATAATTTATAAATATTAATTCCTGTATATGGAATCCCATCAAAATAAAAAAAGTCATTCTCAGTTTCAGCCAAGATTGTTTTAGCTGTTGCCATAGAAGGATATGACTACACAACCAAGAAATTCAAATTGCATTGGCAAGACTAAGATTTTGCTTGGTGGAAATAGTCACCTACAGAGTGCTAATGGTTAATATAGAACTCAATAAAAAAAGGAAAAAGTTCTAAATAAAGACTCCACTGACCTTAGAGTCCCGTTGACGAATGTATTCTTCTTTTTTTTCTTTAGTCAAGCACCAAAGTGGAAGGCTCAAGATGTAGTTAAAGTCTGGGCCAGATGTGTCTTCTTTGTCTTCTTCATCATCACTGTCATCTTTATCCTACAAGAGGCAAACAAAGGCAATCATCACACTATAGTGTGACAGAAATTCCCAATAAAATTCAAAGAGAAAAGCAACCACGAGCAATGCTACTGCTTCTAATATGCTTCAAGTATCTTTTACTAAATGTAATGCAATTTTCAAGTTAAATTCAAAAAATATTATTCTGGCTGCAAGTTTTGTTTTTTGAGCCTTGGCAAGTTAATGATTCCCAACACATGAAAATGGACAATTCAACTGTTAAACAAATAAAGCAGCCAGATTTATTATCCATTTGATAGAGAAAAAGGGGAGGCTACTCAAATAATAGTCGATTCATTTAGTTAAAATCTTTGTTCCTAATTTTTATTGACTACCTTCTCAATGTCATCAGTTCTCAACTCTGTATCTATTTGCTGTCTTAATAGTAAGTCTGATCAGTTTGATAAGGCCCAATTGGCAGCTGATCTCAAACAATATGTTGCTGACTGTGTATGTGTGTGTGTGGGGGGGGATTTTAATGCCTACAAAACAAAATTGCTCTCATCATAAAGAATCTTTTTTAGCTTTCTACAATCATTGTTGATACTAACTTCATTGCACCATCTCACTGCACTGATGTGAAGTGGAATTATTATATTGGATCAATTGCTAGGAAAGCTGCTTCACTATTGTTTGCAACTATTTTTCTTACTAGAATCTATCTTACATATTTATAAGTCTACCATTTGTCCATACATTTAATATTGCTGTCACATCTGTTCTGGTGCTTCTGCTGTGTATTTAGAGACACTTGATAAAATCCAAGAAAAATGTTATCTGTCCTGACACTTTAGCTTCACTCATTTTCCCCACTACAATAATATAGCTTCCCTGTGCCTTTTCTATAAATATTTTCATGATAATTTTTCTGATGCACTTTCCTCTTTGGTACCTCAATTTTACAAATTTAAGTGCAGTACTAGATTGGCAGTTAGGTTTCATTTTATTATTGAAATGGCTAAACTTAACTTGAGTTCTATACTAACAGTTTCTTCTTGCCTGTGAAACTCTTCCAGCCTCTTGATTTCCATTTAACTTTGATCTTCAAAAATGTAAACGCAATGTCAATCACCTGCCTCCTTAATTCCTGTTCTCTTATTGACCTCTCTCCTTAATGTTTTTCCTCTTTCACTCACTAAACCCTTATGTCTTAGTGGCTTTATTGCCTTGCTTGGCATGAAACGATAGAAAAAAAAAAAAAAAAAAAACATTGTTTCAGTCATTTTGCAATAATTATTATTGCATTTTTATGTCTCCCTTAAGAGAGTAGAAAAGGGCTTACATATTACAAAAGATTATCTCTCAAGAAAAGCTCTTCCTAATATCCTAAAGATGACTGAACAATAAATCTTGATCATTTTGGGCAAGATTTTATCAGTGTACAATTTCCAGGAACATAAGTTTTTAAAAGTTCAAAGCCAGATCCATTTAAAATCTGGCCATTTCATTTTATTCTTTTTAATCTCTTCATTATTGGGTCTTCAAGGATTTTTAATCCTCCATAACCAGAACCTAGCTTAGTGAAAAATATTTTATGGCTCAGATTAATCTTATTCAGAAAACTTATTTTGGTTATCTTAATCAGGTGTTTAAAGTATCTGAATACAAGTTGTACAATGGAATTGAGGTGAAATTGAAGGAGAATGACAAGAACAGCTGAAGAAGGAAAAACAATTCCTGCAGTGATTGGAAAAATAAAGAATCAAGGTGAATATTGAAGGGGGGGGGTCTAAAGTGATTTATCTTCATTATAAAAAAGGGAAATTTTTTACAATGTGGTAATGCTTTAACTAAATTAACAGATAGCTCAACAGAGAAGTTGACAATAGCTGCTGTGACATTTTAATAATTACCCTGTTTTTGTTTTGAGCTTCTTTCCAAGCCTTTGAGGGATCAGAGTCATAGCCACGACGCACTAACATTTGGACGAGGTCCTTTTTGGAAACATTTTCTGAAATAAGACAATCACATTTAATGTCATGAACAAAAGTATGTCTTTTTTAACAAATTTTCTCGATGTTAAATAGTATTTTCCTGTAAGTAAAATTAAGAAATAGGACCAAAAAGTGTTTATAACTAATCTACATATAAATTTCTGTGACTTCCGTTAGTCCATTACACCCTCTAAAATACCCATACATTGACCAATCAGAACCAAATTTTGGGGAGAAGTGTAAACAAGTAAGGGGGTACAAAATACAGTTGGTTTTACTAGGGTGCATAGCTTAGTACAATAAATTTTCATTAATTTTTTTTTTTTGAAAAATTATGTGTTATTAACATACAAAATACTGCCACTATTTTAAAAACAATTTAATGATTAAAATGAATTATTCAATAAAACTGCAATATTGTTCTTTGCATATCTAAGTTTTTTATATACACAAGAATCCAGTTTCCAGTTTGCCCTGTGTATACAAGAGCTATAAACAAATCACAAGGCCAAATGCTTCAAAAAGTTAGAATTTGTCTCCAGAAAGAAATATTTATGCATGACCAATTATATGTTACATGCTCAAGAGTAAGAAATCTCAAGAATTTATTCTTCACTGTAAAGAGGGAAAAAAAAAGAAAAGAAATTTTCCTAAAAAGTTGTTTACCATGAAGTCTTATAAAATATAGAGTTTGTAAATCTCAACAAAAATGAGATTGATAACTTCAATCCTAAATACTGTAAGGATTTCAACATGCATCAGTGTGTTGCAAAAAAAAAAAAAAAAATTCTAATTCACAAAAGAGTAAAAATGTTCATTCACCTAAAATTTGACACAAATTTTACATGCACATTATATATATCTCATAAAAACATAACGCCGAGTTCCATTATTGAGATAAAGTCAATCAGTAGCAAAATTAATTGAATCCAAATGTGGAAATTGCAGAGAAATATAAAACACAGTAACATTTATTTACAATGTTTAATTTGAAAGATAAATTTATGGTCAATATTTATTAAAGTTTGCATCTGCAGAAATCTTACAAATAACTTATCTTTGAAACTGAAAATATTTCTCTATTCAAGTAAAAACAAAGCTGATATCACAGAACGTCAGTGCAACTGTTTCATTACTAGTTTGATAGATTTTTTTTCATTTCTAAAATGTTATCTAAAAATGAGAACAAAAAAATTCCAGGGTCAAATGCAGATTCCAGAGATGAAAAAAAAAAAAAAAAAAAAAAGCTTTTCAACACCAAGAATTATCTTCATTGTCATAAATTTCTTTGCATTTTAAAGCAGATATTAGAAATGGCAGCAATTTTGCATCCACAAAGTGTTCAAAAATATAAATCTAGAAATAGCAACTACATATTGTCACCAAGTCAATTCTTCATTATTCACTTACCAATTTTCACAAGACCATCAATTTTTTCCATAATGAATCGTGCAATGTTATCCAGTTTCAAAGACTCTGCACTGAGAAGGCCTTCTAAGTAGTCCTTCCGACGTTTGTAGAAATCAATTCGAAGATCAAAAAATTCACGTAGTATCTGGTCCACCTTTTCATACTTCCTGATACAGCCATTATGATCAAATAACACCTGAAGAAACATTTTTTAAAAGCTCTTTACCAAAGTATAAATAAACAATTTATAATTTTAATATTAAAAAAAAAAAAAAAAAAACAAACATCAAAGTTTATTATCATTTGCATCTAGTCTTACAAAAACAAACCTAAAAATAAAAATTTCTTGCACAAAAATCACCTTGGTTCATGATAGGCCAATGAGTTAGTTTGCCAGAATAGCTCCTAGACAATCTCAGAATGAAATATCACAAGCATTATGTGGAAGAAGTGGAGGTAAAGAGAGTAAAATACGATACATCTGTCAATAACAAATTTACAAATTTCAAAATCTAATCTTTGAATAGTTTTTTTTTTTTTTTTTTAAATTTTTATTTTATGAAGGAAATAAGTAAAAATCATGGAAGTTACAAGATTAGCTATTTTTTTTATCCCCCTGAGAATAAATTTTCCATGTACATTTTTTCTTGTTTATATCATGTGCCTTCAGGATGTTAATGATTACAGTTCCACATAGCTTCTTTCCTTTAATATCTGTTAATTACTATGACTTCTTGGAAATGATAGTGGATTAGTTTCACATTGCTTTCTCCAGTTTTCAATTAAGAATTATCCTGGCTAGAGAATGCAGCTTAGCCCGCTATTTAACCCCTAAGAGAGGGAAGACAGAGCAAGGCTTTCCTCCAATTAATATACAAATTGAATGCAACAATCTCAGCCACAATTTGAACCATGTTTTTCAATTTCACTTTCTTCAGTCACTACTGCCATAGACAAACTGCTTTATCTAGTTGTTTTTTTTAACACTTTCGAATCATTTGTCGCCGTCATTAACACATTTTTCTATCTCAAATCTGCATTATGTAAACCAATTTATTTTATTTTATTTTTTTAACAACAAAAATAAACAAGAACTTGAGAAAAAGGATCATGCAATATTTAGTCTGACAAATTAATTTTCAATCTCATTCTTTGTAATTTTAGAATTTTAACAGATTTAACCCAATCTTTTGGCATATTTCAAAAGCTGATTTGTTTTAGAATTCTTCTATTTATAAATCCTCAACTTACCATAGAATTTGTGGAGAATGTAGTCTGCAATTTGAAGAATTTGTGAAGACCTGCCAATTCAGCATTTGCAAGTTTTTCTGCTGACATTTTAATGATAAATCTTACAGTTGTGTCTGTGTGATATTCTTTGTAATCACTAGAGAAAGAGAATTATATGATTAAACAAAAGACATTTATCTAACAATTATTTTCAATGAATGAAAAAAATAAAAAAATAAAATAAAATAAAAAATCCAGTGTCTGAGAACAAATAAAAAAAATAAAAAGCAAGAAGTTACAAAACATTCATGAGAATCAGTTTCATGAGGAAATATGCAAAGTAAATAAATAGTGCAATTCTGTTTGTCAGAATTTAATATAGATAAAAAGCACAAATGTGATTCAAAATTATATCCACCAATGCCCAGTTTTATATTTGCAGTGTCAATGAAATCTCATTCTTAGCAAGATTAATATTGGAGCAAATTTCACGGACAAAATCCTCCCAAATGAATATCATTTCCTTCCCATCCAATACAATTTCAGGAATGGAGAGTTATTCCCCCTGCTCAAGACATTTCCTCATAACTTTCCGTTGACCACAGTAATTAAAAGATAAAACAAAGTCAATTCTGGGAAAAATGATAAGTACTATAAAAAGTGTTGGATGAGAGTGGGGCATGTAGAGTATCTTCCAAATATAGCTTAAAAAAGTCCCTAGGATCGAGGATGAAAATCGCCTTTTCCAAATGGCACAGTAATTGGTATTTGAAGTTGACGCTGGTTCAAGACTGGTTGCCTGAGATTTTCACCGCTAAAGAACAGCAATGAAAGTGTCTTGTTGATCAAGATAGTTTAACAACAGAGATTCAGTGTAATGACTCAGTAGAGCAACTTTCAAAATCAAGCAGGAAAGATTAAAAAAAAGAAATTGTATAGAGGTAGAGTTAAATTGTTCTCAAAGTAGAGATTTTCAATAAGAAAAGCCATCAACACTTAAATGTCGCATTTATTGAAGTAAACTAAAGAAAAAAACTCAGAACCTCTTTTTTAGTTTCATTTTGTGTTATGGAGGGATTTCACAGTGGAGGCTTGTATTTGTATTAAGTCAGTCCTAAAATAGGTTCAACGTACAAAACGTTAGGAACTTGATATAATAGGTATAACGCAGAGAAATCTAGTTGTGGTCGCTGATAGTTTAATATTCGACTAACTGACCGACTCACTCGTTACTCTTACAACTCCTACTTATTATAGGTGGGAGAGTCTATTAACTATAGAATAGGTGTGTTCCACTATAACATTTTGTTAACTTGTTACAGAAACTAAAAGTTTCTTTTTTTTTTTCTTTTTTTTTTATGGAGTCACAAAATTTTCCTTAAAGGCAATATAAGACAAACTGGAAAAGATTTTAAACTTTTACATATTTCACCAATGTGATTTGTTGGTTTGACTTCTTCAGATTGAGATGAAAGACAAAACTGTATGTAAGGAAAATCCCTTGGGATTTTTGAGGATAAGAGAGGTAATAAACTAAATTACCTTATCAAATCCAACAACTGATAAATGATTTTAAATCAGCCCCCCACCCAGACAACAAACCCTTTGTCATGGTGAAATGTGGCACACTTCAAAGTTTTTCCAATGTCTTCTTTCCACTTTTGTTTCAGATACTATTATACGTCTCACAAATTATGTGTGTGCGTGTGTCTAGCATATTTCTTTGAATAATTGAAGTATTAACAATAAAGGGATGATATTAAGGAACAAACTTACGTGATCATAGCAGAGACCTTTTCAGATCCATGCACCATTGGTTCAAGTACCTCCTCTTTGTAGTTCTGTGTCCAAGTACGAATGGGTAGTTCAGAAATTTCCACTGTGTTGTCATCTAACACAGAAATTTCACCACTCACGCAATATTTGTGGTCACTCAGCTCTTCAATAGTACCTTTGTAATTCTTGAACCAGGGAACCTAAATAAAATAGCAATTAAAATTCAATAAAACACAATTTTCCTTTAGCATTTTTATTTGGTTGGTGGGGAGGGAGGAGAATAAACTTTAAGCCCATTTAATTGATTCAAATAACTTTAAAGACAGCAAGAATTACTGACAACTTGAAAACAAATTAAAATCAACAATATTTGGAGTGATACTTGTCTTCATGCACAAGCATAATTCCAAAGAATTTTACCTACCAATAAAAATTTTAATTCTCATTATTGAAGGGGGGGGGGAGGGGAAGGAATTAAATGAATAAAAAAACATTTTCCTTGGCAACTTTCATCTGGTCATTTAAACTAAGATTTAAATTTATGCATAATTTATTTGTAGTTTCACTCGGCCTGGATGAAAGCAATTCTATCCAGCCCCTCCCAACTCTCACACTTCTTGTTGACAACAATTATATTCTTAAAGAATTTTGAATAACTATACAACATTAAATTATTCTTCTAATTTAAAACAGCAATTTTCTAATTACCATGTTAAGCGGTTCGTTGCCATCTAATAATCTTTTGATATTTGCCACAATTTCTCGTGGATCAAAATTTGGAATTTTGGTACTCCATCCAGTTCCAATACCTTCTGAGCCATTGACCAAAATCATTGGAATAATGGGCACATAGTATTCAGGTTCAATTTTTTGGTTATCATCATAAAGGTTCTTCAAGAGTGGAAGATCACTTGGATGGAAAATTAATTTTGCCAAAGGACTAGAGAAAAGAAAAAGAAAAAAAATAGATTATGTCAGAAAATACATTACATTAATATTTTCATTGTTTTATTGGTTTCTAAAAAGTTTTAAAGCTATTCAAATAGGTATTACCAATTGATACATTTTGATACTTAAAAACTAATGAATATGAAAGTGAATGTTTTTGTTCCTTTTTCTACATGAGAACATTTTAGTAAGATTTCTGAAAGTTTATCAAACTTCTAAAATTATTTATTCATTTTCCACTGAACAAAAAAACAAAAAAAAAAAAAAAAACAAACTTCAACTTTAAATGTGTCAATATTCAATTTCTTATGATTCCTTCAAGCCCACAGAATCAGGAGGACAAGCTTGATGATGCTAGCATCATTATCATTCTGAAGCATCTATAATGTTAAAGACATCTAGCTTTTATTGCAGATGGTTGGAGAGGATTAGAAATTAACATTTCTTTTAGTAACAAAAGTTTGTTTTTTTTCCATTTCATACGTAAATTTGACAAATTTGCATCAAAGGAGATGGTTGTTAATTTAAATTACATAAAATCCTTTGGCGTCCTCGTTACTGATTCTTTGAAGGAACAGCATTTGGCCCTTGTTTAAAAATATGAAAATTAATATACAGCTACTTTTTCGAACAGTGTTAACCAATGTTTTTCTCTCTCCTCCTCTTCGGTTATTTATTTTAAACCCAATTTGCATGACTATGAAATGCTGGAATCTATAAATATCATTCATCAAGTATAAAAGCAAAGTTATTAGAAGGTACTGACCTTAGATTTGTGAAAATGTATCGAGGGCTTGCAGCATCTTTGCCTCCGTGGATACGGGTTCCAAACTGACCAATAGGTTGCAACAGGTTGATATTATTGGAACCAACAAAATTCTGTGCTAAATTTATTATCGTGCTCATTAAGGAAGCCTACAAAAAGATAAATAGTTAAGATTACAAGAAATGCATACAATAACTTTCAAGGATATTATAAGATTTCTGTTCATTTGCTAATCTTATTTCAATATTGGTGAAATGGAATACAAATTTAAATGCAGTACTAGATTGGTGGAAATTTCTCATTGTTTTACAATTGAAATGGCTGCTAGATGCAACTGTAAGTTCTATGTGAACAGTTTCTTCTATTGCACTTATTGCTTGTGGAACTCTCTTCCGGCTTCTTACTTTCCAGTCAATTTTGATCTTCAAAAATTTAAATGCAATTTCAATCATTTTCTATCCTCTTAATTCTTATTCTTTTATTGTTCTCTCTCCTTATTGATGTTTCTTTCTCATATTTCGAGGTAACTCCTTACATCTTGGCTTTCTTACCTTGCATGGGGTGAAATGATGATTATATAAATAATTATATTATAATAGGATTAGAAATCAATAGATTTTGAATTGACCAATTGGACAGGAGTTTTTGTAATAAGAAAAAGTTTTATACATTTTTTTTTTTATAATAGTGTTGTCATTATTATTTCTAATGAAATAGTTATTAAAAAGCATTAAATAAGCTACCAACATAGACAAGAGATAAAATGTGCTTCCTGAATAGCAATGTTTTTTTTTTTTTTTACATTATGAAATAAAAGGAAAAAATGTCATTGATGCTTTCAAATGGAATTAGTCTTAGATATGTTTCTTAATTCCTCATCAGAACATAAGAATGTGTGTGTGTGTCTTTTGTAAAAGCTGAGATCCTGTAATTCCTTCTGCGAATAGGCAAAAATCATGAGAAAAGAAAAGTAACACTTACTTCACCATGATGGTATGCTGAAAGTTCAGCAACTGAACCAGCCAGCTGAGCAACTTTGATTTCTTTCTTGTCATTTCTCTTAAAACAAGTATAGATGACTTTACGCTGTCCAGGTTTTAGACCGTCCACCAAAGATGGAATGGATCGATTGTTGTCCATAAAACTGAACAAGATCAACTCACGGTTGATGAATTCGTTGAATGTCACTTGAGTAGTACCCTTTCCATATAAATAAAGCTAAAAAGAAATTACAAAAATTGTAGATTAAATTACAATTGAAGAAAATCATACCAGTTTTACTTTTTTCTTTTTTTTTTCTAACATGTATCAAATGTCATTTTGTTTCTTAAAGTTAAGATTACAGAAAAGTAAATTAAAAATAAAACCTGTCTGCTCTATTTTTATATCTGGCTTTTTCTTTAGAGATTTACATTCAATTATGATTGACTTAACCAAGAGTGTGTGCATGTGAGAGGGGTGTAAACAATTTAAAAAATAAAGTTATTAAACAGGTAAGGTTCTTTTACAGTTGAAACTAGACAAAACTGTTTTCTTTTTTTTTTAAATTCTAGTTATAGATGTCCATTTTTTTTTTTTTTTTTAAAAAGAACAAACTTCTACCATGAAAGTTGGATAACATGACCTGCACAAGTCCCATCTCTCAGGAAACAAAACATGATACTAAAAATGCCTCAAACAAATGCGTGCACACACAAGTAATGCTTACATCTAGTTAATGGCAACTTTGAGGGAGGGGTAGGAGTGGGGTGGTTGAAATACCCCACCAAAAACACCCTAATCCAACAAAGCAAGGCTAAGAAATTTTTTTTTTACCTCTGGAAGGCCCATTTCTGTTCTCCTTTTCTTTTCTTCCATCCAGTTAGTCAGCCATTCCTTTCGTTCTTCAATTTTCTTTTTGCTAAAAGCCTACAATGAGAAAGATCAAAATTGAAACCCATTTTTGCATTTAAATTATTGGGGAGGGGGAGAGGAGATCAAAGGCAAGACTTACCAAATTGATGGAAGCGTCATCTTCAGGGCCTTCATACTTAAAAGGGATTCTGTGACGTTGCATATCGGCAAAATATTCTTTTGCCTCTTTAGCTGTGCTGGTTCCCAAACCTAAAAAAGTAAAATAAAACATTTTCTCAATCAATCTGATCTAAAATAGGTTTGTTTTTTCATTTATATTAAATTCATTATTGAAAACTAAGTGCTAAAAATGACAAATTTATTTCCAAATTCAATGAATAAATGTCACATGAAAAACACAAGTGTTGTTTAATTGTTGTTGTTATTGTTTAATTAAATCTAATTTTTTTTAAATGCAAAAGAAACTGATAAATTCTAATATTAATTGGTTTTGAAATCAAGTGATATTCAATGTGAACATTATTGCTTTATTGATGCAGACTTTTATAGTCTTCAAAGAGTAACAATCCAAATACAAGGCTTTACAAGGTGCTTTCTGAATTAAGATCTCAGTGAAAAACAAATTGGTATTTCAATAAATTTTCATTTGGTAAGTTAATATATATTGAGGGGAAAATTGCAAAATCCTAAGAATGGTTAAGTTTCTTTACTTGATTGCTTTTTTATCCATTTCATTACAAGATAACTTCCAGTGACATTTCTATAAAAATGAAAAGTCAAAGTGAGGTTATTAAAAAGTAACAGTTAATGATATTTCTTTTCTAATAAAAAATAGTAATTGATTTTAATTTTAGAAACAATTCCAAGTGCTGTGAATGAAAAATAATGTACTCTAACAAAAACTGTGTCTTACCGTGATCAGTGTATAATTCTAACTACATTTAAGAATAATGAGAAAAAAAAAAACCTTTGTAGTATTTGATTCTCCATGTATGCCATTGGTCAGTCTCACGTTGCCATTCCTCAAATTCTGGAATGCTGTAAAAGGATCGCTCTTGTTTGTTCTTTGTGACCTAGGAAAGAAAAAACAATTCTTATCAGAATTAGTTTTCTTATTATAATTAGTCACAAGGAAATTCCTTACATAGGTAAAGTTTTACCCCCAGATTTATTATACCTACGAGTACTGCAAGATGTAAACAAACAATATGACATGGATTAAAATTGGAGAAAGGAGAATTGAGTTATAAGTGGTTGGTTTCTGTAAGCTGACTGGGAAGGGATTGCCTTGATTAGATAGGCCAGCAGGGCTGATGCAAGTTTAAATCTCATTCAAGATTATTTTCTCATGCAGACTGTTTAAGTAAAAGGCATAAAAAAAAAAAAAAAAAAGGAAAAAAAAAAAAAAAAGCATCTGAGTATTTCAACAAAAACAAGTGAAAATTAAGAATAATTTTCTTTGATGAAACCAACAAAATATCAAATTGTTAGCATTTCAAATTATTCATTATAAAACGTAGCGCAGCTAAAACCTCCAAAGTAGAGTAGAGTTTGAAATAATTTCTATTGAAAAAACACCAAATTATGTTCTGCATTCAAATTCAATGTTTTCGGAAAAAGACAACTGCATCAAAAACTCTTACTAAAGAGATAACCTTGGGGTTATCAGTAAAAAAACAAAAATATTACCTTCACAATTGGGGTGATGAATTCTTCCACCAAATTGTGTTTGAGTAGACTTGGCCAAAAGTGATGGAAAAAATTGATAAGCAATCCTTTGATATGTGAGCCATCATTATCCTGATCAGTCATTATCATGATCTTTCCGTAACGAAGGCTGCGAATTTTTTCAATATCTTCATATTTTTCTTTGAACTGGAGCCCCATGATTTTCACCAAGTTATTGATTTCTGCATTTTCCATGATCTAACAACAAATTTAATAGATTCCTTAGTAACTCATAATCACAAATGTAAACAAAAAAAATAATTCATAAACACACATACAAAACTTCCCTTAAATAATTTATCGTTAGTAAATATTAACTGACCCTGTGAATTTCATACAAAAATACTTTCACTTGTCAACAAAAAGGTAGCACATATTTAAGATATATTTTAGAAATTAAAAATAATCCATTAGCAATAATCGTTTGATTGTTCGTTAAAGCAATGCAACTTTTTCTTTAAGAAAAAGTCATTTTTAATTGTAGTTATCACTGGTTTCACAAAATGATCATTTCACTCCTGCCAAACCAAAATTTCTCTATCAGTCTACTTTCTTCTTACACCTGAAGGGGAGAAAGGAGTGGGGTGGGTGTCAATTTAAACTGAAAGCAGTTATTTTTTGCTTACGTAACATGGTCAAAACAGTTGTTGCTTGAAACACAAGAAGGATAACTCTACACACATACAAGAGAGAGAGAGAGAGAGAAATGTTAAAAGGAATGTGTTACCTGCTTGTGAGTAGCTTCTCTAACGTTGAGTACTTTACCCTTCAGAGGGAAAACTCCATAACAATCTCGACCAACAATTCCGAGACCAGCCACGGCCAAAGATTTGGCTGAATCTCCTTCAGTCAAGATCAGTGTACAACTGTTGGAATTCTTTGTCCCTGCTAAATTGGCATCATCCAGTTTAGGAATGCCTTTCAATTTGGAGTGCTTAGAACTGTGACATTTCTTTTGCAGCTGAGCTTGTTCTTTAAACTTCATCCAGCTCATGACACTTTCAACAATGCCACACTTGGCAACCTGAAAGCAATATGGTAAAAAAATTAGGAGAAACAAACCACTGACAGACAACTGGTCACAAAATTCTATTTTGCACAAACCCAGAATCGGTCACAAATATAAAAATGTCTAGACAACAACACTTACGGCAGTAATGAATTTTTCTGATGGCTGACATTTGGATCCAAAGCTTTTAGGTTGCAGTGTCATATTTTCTTTGGTTTGGGAATCAAATGTTGGATTTTCAATGAGGCAATTTACAAACAGCCACATGTGACTTTTGATCTGGAAATAACAGCAATTATTAAGTAGATTAATCAACTGAGATATTTATTTTAAAGCATTAACAATTGTCAATTTGAAATTGAATTCAGCAAAAAGCACTGAAAAAAAAGAGTATACAGATATGTAGTATCATTGAATATTAAATTTTGAAATATATTGCAATTATAATTTTGATAAGGTTTTTTTTTTTTTTAAATTGTAAAATTGTGATTTTACACATCAAAATCAAAAAAAAAAAAAAAAAAAGTTAAAAATCAAGCAGAAGCAACAAGTCTGACTTTTGAGAAGCAGGTATAAAAATAAAACTTGAAATAAATTACTAAGGGTAGTTTAAGCATTATTATGAGTTAGTCCTGTGGTTTGAAATCAATTCTCTCCCTTCAAGCATCAGAAAATCTTGTTAAAAGTTTTCTTCTTCCTAAAGGTTTTCATACAACAGTAAACAAACAACAGCAATATTTATTTTCAAGTGAGTTTAACCCTTTGGAGATGGAGCCTCATTTGGAGTTTCAGTGCCAAGAAGACAAAACCCTTTTTACAAATTCTCATGTCACACACACACAAAAAAATCAAATACAAAATCAGAAAAACAAAGCTATTATAGAAACTGCCATTGAAGGACCAAGATGTGCAAGAAATGTAAGAAGTAATCTGATTGGTTAGTGCAAAGACCAGCCAGCTAATTTTGAGGCTTGTATTACCAGGCCAATGGATCAGCCCTGTCATCTAAGGGTTAAGGAGAGTTACAAGATTTAATGCAACAATAAGACAAAATAGGAAATTTATAAATAACACATTTCGCTGAGAGTATTTGCTCTCTCTGGCTCCCTCAGAAGTCAACTATATGTGAGGAAAAATATGGAGCATAAATCAAATTAAATTACCCTATCACATCCAATGTCCAAACTGAAGAGAGTGAAATATATATATAATTTAATTAAAAGATGCTGAGTAAAAAGAAGAGAAAAAGAAAACAGAAAATAGTGCAAACCTGCACTAAACCCTTACCTGGAAAGGTTTTATATTAAGACCACCTTTGTTCTTCTTTTTCACAATTTCAATTATTTTGTTTACCAAAGGATCAGCAACATGGTCAACATGGCGTCCACCCTAGAAAGAAATAAAACACAAAAAACATTAGTGAGGAAGGAAGGAAACATGGAAGGACGGAAACACGGAAAAAAACCCACAACAGGTTGATAGAGAAATGAAGTCACACTCACTTTGCTCGTTGAAATGCTATTCACAAAGCTAGCCTGTTGAAAGCCTTGGTCACTAATAGTGACAGAAATTTCCCATCTTTCAGACACTTGTTCATAGACAATTTTTAGAGGTTGACCAGCATCATCAACTTTTTCTTTTATGAAAAAATCCACATAATCCTTAAAGTTTTTCACCTGAATGGATGAAAAATTTAAAAAAAAAGAAAAAGAAAAAAAAAAAAAAACTGTCAGAAATGTTAACACAGAAACAAACAACTTTAACAAATTGAACAAAAAAATATTCTAACTATAAACTCTTTTTTACATTTCATTAACATCTTTTCTACTTATACCATTTTGTTGAGAATACTGCAACATAAAAAGGAAATATTGAGGTAAGGGTTCATAAATCATGAAAATTGGTCTTAAGCCACAGAAAGCAAATCACCTCAATTTTCCTTTGAATAATTTTAATAATTTATCAAACAAAAGACAAAGAAAAATATAATTCAATTTATGGCCCAAATGTGTACACATATGAAATATTTCCTAATTGAAGTTGACATTTTTTGGACAGTGTTAACAGATACTAAAGATTTTATCACAAGAAGTGATGTATTAAGTTTGCATATTTATTTCCCCAAAGAAATGTTTAATACTGAATTTAAGAATCAAAAACGTACAGGAACTCTCTTGCCATTTAGAATCACTTTTACACCCCTGGTTGAAGCAGCAACATCAAAAGCTCGCCGGGTGAACAAAGCTGTGATATCCTTATCCAAGGTGGTCATGCCAAATTTAGGCAAATCAGGTGAAAAAGTAATACAAGTAAAATCTTCTGCTCTAGATTCGGTCAAGACTGGATCTGATGCCTTCATCATGTTATTAGTCCATGTCTGAGAGAGGAAAATAAAAAGATAAAATACATGGTGGCATGAAACAAGAGTTCTGAACATTTAAACAAGCTTCTGTTTTCTAATCTAAATGCCCCCCCCCCAAAAAAAAACTAAACGTAATCGAAATTGAATGCAGTAAAAAATTTTGCAATGAGAAAAATTGTTGTCCTTAAAATTAAATAAAACTTTAAAAAAATTCATTTTAGGAATCAACATTTTCCTTTAAAGATCTCTAATATTGCCGAAAATAAACAAACCAATTAAATTTCAACATGGCTCTTCAATATTTTTAAAGTCTTTAAATCAGATGGAAAAATCTAATGACATTTTTCAAAACTAGAGTTAGATTAAATGTGGAAGGCAGAAAGAAAAAAAATACAGTTTTCAGTTTGTAAGAATAAAGAAGGTTATTGAGAGTATCAAAGGAACAGGAGTTAAGGTAGAGGAAACAAAGATTTATTAAATACTCATACATAGAATGAAAATACTTGAGTAAATCAAATACTACTCAAATCCTCCTCTAATGCAGTTATTTGCCATATTCTGTCCTGGGTATGATGATAAACTACAACTGGCAGCAAGACCTCTGATGGGGAGGTTTTGAGGAGCATGGAAGCACTTCTTAATTACTGTTGTCCCTAGATCCACCTTGACCTGGGACAGTAGCACATATTAGGGTCCCACCTATGGGCAAATAGTGAACCTCAAAACTGGAGTCAAAACATCAAAGTTATAAACATTTTTAGAGTAAAAAAAAAAAAAAAGTTTTTGTAAGAGAAATTACTAATTCTCCCAAGAAAATTAAATTTTGGCATTAAATGACCCATAAGGAGTTCATATGCCACTAAACAAAATAAACTTTCCAAAAGAGCTGGCATTCAGTCAATATATCCCATCCTTACCATATGTATAAGTAGGAGCAGTCCATTGTCACAGTAATAGGGAATAGCAGGAAGTATGCCAAGTCCTACTTGACAACACTTATCTATGAAATGCCCATAAATGGGTCTTCCCACAAACAGTCATATACTTGAGGTTTTAACAAAAACTGATTATCAAGTTTTACAGATAACATTATCCAAACACATACTTGTTTAAATGCTCTTTTGTATTCTTGACAGGAAGTTTCAACAATAAATTTTGTACTGAAGATGTTACATAATTTAGCACCATATCCATTACGGCCACCTGAAGAAAGAAAAACAGAATTAGATTGAGAAAGCAAAGAAAGTATTTATGAAATTTATTTTTCTCTTCAACTAAGCCATCATAAGACGTAACCAAAGGCAGAATAATTTTAGTCATTCAATGTTGAACAGTAACCCCCCCCCCTCCAACAGTGACCATGAAAATAAGCAGAAATATTTACAGACTACATTTTGGTATGTTCAAAATTTTCATTTAGTAGAATCACTATTCATTTGCCCAAATACTCAAAAAAATATTTTGCAAGAACACATTTTTTTCATTAAATACTTGTCTTATTTGTAATATTTTACTAGCAACTTGGCTATTTTAATGCTTTCAAATATTTAAAAATCATTGTTATCTTTTCAATTTCAATATGAGTTGTCTGAGGATTGTATATGTGAAGAGAAAACTGAATAATTTTCCTACCAAAGCCTATATTCTATAAAATTTTTTAAAAAAGCTTTACAGGAGTGCATTAACTGCTAATAATGTATCATCAAGTTGAAAATCACAAGTCAATTGATTAGAAAATTTCATTGAATCTGTTAAAAAAGGACAAAATACTGATTACCTATGATCTTTATAGATTTCAATTCCCAGATATCTAATCATTGACCTTTGGATATCTAGATGAACCGTTATATAGACATAGTGGGGAGGTGAAGGAGAGAGAGAACACAAGACATAACATTCTTACCTGTAACCTTCTTTTCTGAGTCATCATAGTTGCTAGATGTGAGCAGATGACCAAATATCATTGTTGGGACATACATCTTCTCAGTTTTATGTTCCACAACAGGAATTCCTTTCCCATTATTCCAGATTTTGATCTTATTATTTTCACTAGAAAAAAAAAAAAAAAAAAATCATTTGTTATTTGAAACTTTTTAGTAAGTTAACATTTATTCACACTTTGAATCAATGAAAAAAAAACATTAATGACAGAGGAAACAAACTTCAAGTTGCATTTCATTAAGGATTTACACTTAAATTTTAAATTTAAACTATTATCTTTACTTCCTGTTTGGTTTCTTAACTTTAATCTTATTTCTCCAGACAAAGAAAATAAATATTACAAGATAGATTATTAACATTATATCAGGAACTTTATTCCTCATAGAACTGAACTACAAGTATTAAATACAAAGTAAAAATTTAAGAGATAAAGTTTATAAAATTCAAGTCATATACAAATGTTTATACGATCTGTTCAGATGATTCTCATCTACTTTTAGACATATTTCCAAATTAAACCAAGATCTAAATTATGGTTTTAAATAATTTATTAATATTACAAAAAATTGCAATTTATGTGAATAAAGAATGTTGAGGAGAACCCAATGGAATGGTAAATATGAAAGTCAAATTGGAAAACTATTTTGACAAGTTTTACAGATGAATTAGTGATATCTGAAAAAAATTTTTTTTTGTATTTCAACAAAATTTACATTAATGAGACAAAACAGGATCCATAAAAAGCATCTAAACATTTGTTTTTTTACTCCAAATGTATTGTTAAAGAAATTATATTCTAACTAACCCCAAATCATTTTTTTTCTTGCTGGTTATGTAACCTTTTAAAAGTAAAAGAAAAAAAACCTAAAAAGAAAAAATGCATTAAAATTAATAAAAATCTAATTCTTGTAACAATGTTATTTGGGGGGAAAATAAAAAAAAAAAAAAAGTCAAGTGTTTAATCACTTAATGCAGATCACAGTTTGACTAAGGTAACTCTTGGGTAAAATGAAAAAAAAAAAAAAAAAAAAGTTCTTTTTCTGATAATGCTGGTTCATTGGCAAAATATATCAAATTAATATTCCCCAAATTGTGTGCATCTGTTACAACACAATGACCAAATATAAAATTTTGAATGAGGCAACATACCATTTCTAAAACAAATTCCAACTTTGTTATAACATACATGCAATATATAAACCTACCCTCCCAATATAGCGATTTTCAGAAATGCCACTAAGGATGAAACGATTTTTGCTCTGCCGACATATTAAAGATATTTGATTCCTTCATCTTCTTCATACCAGCTTATTTGCTTATTTGAAGACAAGGAATAAAAAGTCATTCATATTAAGGAATTGCTAATGATCCAGGAATAATAAAAATACTCACCTGTCAATGTCAATTTTGATGGTGTTCATCTTTGAATCTCTTTGTTTGTTGTCAGCTGCATTGACTAAAGAAAGGAAGAGAGATTTTATTTTTACAAATCCACTAAGAATGAAGGCATAAAAATTCACTCAACAATTATTGCCACGTTGGTTAATTATAATTAACCAGCTGATAATTGCAGTTTAGATTATATTTACAGAAAAAAAAATTCTGTAATAAATAATCCTTATAAACCATAAGGCTGCACTATTAATTCATATTTAACTTACCGAGAATTTCATCAAATATTTTGTATAAGCCAGGGACATAGGAAATTTCCCTTTGGACCATTTTTGTAAGTTCATCATCCAGGACATACATATTCTGAAAACAAGTAAAAAATTTGGTGATTAATGGTCATCAATTCCACAGATTCATTGTCTCTGTTCTTTTTTGTTAAAAGAAAAATCATACAAAGAAGTTCTCAGGTTATTAGTTGGATAACAAATGTAAATCAGCATTATAGAAAAATTTTGTTATATATATATATATATATATATATATATATATATATAGTGTGTGTGAGAGAGAGAATCATACAATAAATAATCAGCACTATAAACACCAAGGGACATGTCAACCAACAATAACATAAAATGATGCCTAACAGGCTAGATGACTCCAGAATTGCATATGGTAAAACAATATCATTCATGAAAATATAATTGAACTCCTTCATGTACTTAATACAAAAAGATTATATATTTCATGTAAATGCAGAAAAGTATATAGTAAAGAAACCAGTCTTCTCTTACAGTTAAATCTCAAGGAACATAAATCCATTACTAAAAATAAAAAAGGGGAAGGGAGAGATGGTAAAGGTCATATGGTATGGTAAATCCTATTTGGAGAGAAGAGATAACTGATAGGGAGCACTGCTGGAATGTGAGGCTATAATATGGGATATGGTCAGTGAGTCTTAACCAGGAACTGTCTTCATTTTTTAATGATTTCTTGGTTTGGTTTTTAAATTTTCATCTCTCTTTTATGTCCTTATGAAAAAAAAAAGTCATGAGATATCAAAATTTAAAAACCAAACCAAGAACTTTTTAAAAACCAAACCAAGAACTTTTTAAAAACCAAACCAAGAACTTTTTAAAAACCAAACCAAGAACTTTTTAAAAACCAAACCAAGAACTTTTTAAAAACCAAACCAAGAACTTTTTAAAAACCAAACCAAGAACTTTTTAAAAACCAAACCAAGAACTTTTTAAAAACCAAACCAAGAACTTTTTAAAAACCAAACCAAGAACTTTTTAAAAACCAAACCAAGAAATTTTTAAAAACCAAACCAAGAACTTTTAAAAACCAAACCAAGAACTTTTTAAAAACCAAACCAAGAACTTATTAAAAAATGAAGACAGTTCCTGGTTAAAATGCATCAAAGATCACTCCAAAACACCCATGACTGATTTTATTTATATATATTATGAAATGGACTAAGCCTGACAATTATTTTAATATATTTTATTGTTATACGTTATTTATATAGACACAAATATTTAAATAAATGCTCTGTTTATAATAAACAGTATTAACAACATTTAATATTCAGGCTGGTAAATGTTAATATTGTTTATTATAAACAGAGAACTTTCTTAAATATTTGTGTCTATGTAAATAACATAAAACACACACACACACACACACACACAGGGTGATTGGAAAGTAATTCCTTATTTTATGTACAGGTGGCTAGTCAGAAGTCCTGACTTAAAACCCATTTCCTTGAGTTTGGTTAAAGAAGCAAGTCTACTATAGCAAACCAAGATATTGGAAGAACTTGAAGGGCAACTACAAAAAGTTGTCTTCCATACCATAAGAGTTCCTAGTGAAATCAACTGACAATTCCTGGGTGGCTTGAGAAGATTGTGGCGAAACCTGGTGACTAGATTGAAATTTAAATAAAAACTCATGTTAAAAACTTCCTTTCATATCCACTTTTGTAAAAATTATAGTTAGTAAATAAATTGATTTTTAAATGGGGGCGTTACTTTTCAATCACTGTATATATGCCAGGTGAACAAGTGAGACTATCATGGATTCCAACATTATGTAATTTTTTTGTGCTAGATTGAATCACCTAGGTGTGGTCCCTAACACTACTATAACACAACTAAAAGGGGCTTGATCCAGTTGATACATTTATAACCACTTCCCCTATCGATTCTACATTTGAGAAAGGCTGAAGAATGAATCAGCCATGTTTGCTAACATCAGATACACAAAGGAGTTCAATTGGCAAAACAAAATTGGAAGATATAAACTTGATTTTGTGTTACAGTACACATTTTTCAAGTAGAATGAAAATCATTCAAGTAAAAACAGTCACTGAAAAGTGTGTGTGTATATATATATATATATAAAAAATGGATTTTTAACCAGTTATTATTTATTGCTATAAACACTTGTTTTAGTGCATGCACACAATTGTTATTAATTCCACTGTTTAAAAAAAAAAAAAAAAAAAAAAAGTGATAGCAAGTCAAATATCTGTACCCAATAAAAATGCTTATCGCAATATATGCATGCAAATTCACCAATTGTCCAATCAGCATAAGGATTAATTTGTTTATAAAATTCAGTATCCAACACATTATCCACAAGATTTGTCTGACAAAAATTTCAAAACATTCTTTTCTCTTGAATTTATTTACTTTTTATTTTAGACAAGATTTAGTTTTATGTTCACTTGTCTATGCCATATTAACTAGAGAAGAACATAAAAATCCCATCTTTTAAAATAAAAATGTTAATTATTTCAAGATTTAGCTCCAAAACATTTCACAATTTAGAAACTATATTTTTTCAAATACAAAACAAAATAGTGCTTTGCTATAAACATTTTTTTCACAAGCAATTTATATATATTGCCTTTCAGGAAAACAAAAATTCTCATTAGAAAAATTTATCATTTTTATCGTGTTTATTTTGCTAAACAAAAAAATTTCCTTGATCTTTTTTCAAAGACACTTTCAGAAATCTCCTTGGTCAAGAAATTCATTTTTTTTTTATTCCACACTTACTCATTCTGAATAGCAACATGCTTGAAAATTCTACCATTTTTTCAAAGTGTTTTTTCTTATAAGTAATTAAACTTAAGAAAAAGTTAGCATGAAAACTTACAGTTGTGTGAACTTCAACTGATCCAATATAGGTATCTGGACGCAATAAGATATGCTCCAGTTGACTTTTCTTCTGGTAAATCCTCTCCACAGACAACCTCTTGTTGGTTTTTTCGTCTGCATCATCTGACTTGTCCTTTCCTTTTTCTTTAACATTGTCAAAGATTGGCTGGAAAAAAAGAGAGAAAGAAATGGTTAAGTTCCAAAAGAGGCACAAATGGACAGAATTTGGAAATTGGTGGAAAATAACTGAGAAGTTAGCAGAACTCACAAAAAAAGAAAAAAAAATTGAATCAAAATATTTTTCTTCTTGATTCTTGACCACTGACAATCTCTTTTCAATGAACAACATTGAAACTATGTCACAATTTACTTCAAAAATAAAAAAAAATTCAGTAATTAAATTCCATTTTCATTTGTTTATAGCTTTTCATTATTACAAAGTTTTCCCTGAATGAAATATTAAAATCAACTATGGAGACAAGCTTACGAGGTCCACTATTCTGTTAGTTTTCAAATAAAAGATGAAATTAAGGAATCAATTTTTCAACTAACATTATATTTGCATTGGCACCTGCTTACTTCCTAAATACAGTTACTATCATCATACATTTAATGTGGGTTTGGACTATTTCATACATTATAACACTTATATCACATAACATAGGTACCTCCACGAGATCGCTAAAAAAAGAGCATAGCATGATGAAAAAGACGCCAAACTTGACGAAAACAAAATTTTATCGTCTAAATGTTTGTTAATTATAAGAGGAAAGGTCAAAGTATTTTTGGGGTATTTTTTTTCCATTTTTTAATTGTTCCTAGCACGTTCAAAATTTTCGTTAAAAATCTAGTTTTTTTTTTGAGTCAGCAAAATTGACCATTTTTTTCCATTTTAAAAAAAAATGGAAATCTGACTTTGAAATTTTTTTTAAATATCAATTATCATTTTTTCAAAACTTATTAAGAAAATCAGAAATTATAATGTTTATTTAAAATATTTTGAACCAAACTTAACTTAGCTTTTGTGCCAAAAAGATGTAATTTGAAAATAAAACAAAGCAGGTCATAAACTTTCGCGTCTCTTGACACGTGATGAATGATATATTTACGAATTCCATGAGGCTAATTTGTTCTACGGAAGGAGAAAAGTGAAATAATTTACATTTACGTGAAAAAATTATTTACCCCGTTATTTTTAACGAAAACTTTCAGCGGTCTAATTTTTTTTTTTTTTTTTTTTGTACTTAGCTTTCACCTTTACGTTTATGATGCTTTATGGGAAATATATTGTAAAGAAATTAAAATAAAACTGTTAAGAGTGACATTAAATTTCATATTTCTTAAGAAAGGTATCTAATTAATTTATAGGTACCTTTCTTATGAAATTTTATCAGAATTGTACATAAAATACTATAATTTTATGTACATTTATTACATTCTACTGTTATTTGTATTTGCATCCATTTTATTATTAATTTTGATATTTCATTTATGGAAAAATGTCGTAACTGAGATTAATATAAAAATAAGATCATATAAATTTCATAAGATGATACTGATACTTGTAGGTACCCTTCTCAGTTGAAATTGAAAAATCAAATTAACTTCTCCACACGTGTAAAGGCCTTAACAGCGGAGAACAATGCTTAACTCAAATAACACAACTTAATTATATTCTGGTTGGTCTTCCGTATTTTATAATTACAGCTCGATTATAAGCACAAAATTACATTTCTTAATTACTGGGTATCTTCTGATTAGTCAAAATGATACAATTTACAACGCTAAAAAAAAAAAAGATCTATCTCATAAGGACACTTATGAAAGCCGATCGACTTTTTAACTAATTTTATAATATTTTAACAACTTAAAGGTAAAATCTATTATAATTAAGGAAATAACAAATAATTGTATTAAAATTCATTTTTCATCAAAAAATTTTTTTGCTTTCAGAAAATATTGTCCATATTCATAAAAAACAACTAAAAGCAAATAAAAGCATTTGAAATTAAATAATATATTTGTTTTATTGAGTTTTGTATGTTACAATTCAGAGCTGATTTTCAGGTACTGCGATCCAATTAAAAAAAAAAAAAAAAAAACATGATTTGCATTCCTCAAAGCCCTGTGCTTTTAATTATTGTAATCACTAAAACCAATGCGATTGAATTTCTAGCGTTTTCATAAAATTAGTTGGGGGGGTAATAAATATTTTAAAATATTTCTACCATGACTTTCATAAAAAAAAAAAACATTTATAATAATTTCGATCATCTGTGAATAGTTTCCGAAAGTTTCATTAACATCTGATAATTATTTCTTTTTTTGCACGATTTTTCAAATTAATGTGTCATACCAAAAAAACGTGCTAAAAATTGTCTATGTTATTTACTAGTTCCGCTGATACAAATAGAAAAAAGGTTTTTTTTAATCAAAATTTAGAATGTTCTAAAAGAAGGAAAATTTTTTAAAATAATTAAAAAAAAAAACTTTGGTCTTTCCTCTTAATAATAACATAAGCATTTAGACAATAAAATTTAGTTTTCGGCAAGTTTGGCGTCTTTTTTTTTTCAAGCTATGCTCTTTTAGCGATTTCGTGGAGGTACCTAACATAACATAAACAATGTCTTTAATATAGAAAAAAAATAGACATTATATAAGCATAGATTAATTTTACCTATTAAAAAAAAAAAAAAAAAAATATAAAAAAAGCATAAAAAAATTTAGCTTCATGAAATTCCTTGAGGTTATTGATAAAAAAAAAAAAAAAAAAAAATTACTATTGCATTGACAAACTAATTTTTTGAATTCAAAATCTGCAATTACTCAAAGATAAGAAATTATCTTAAGCAAAAACAATGTTTAAATCACACCTAAAAAGAAATTCACACTTGGACAAGAAAATGATATTACTTAAACACTATAGTGGAAACTGTGTTTGAAATAATAAAAACGTTGGATTAAAAAGAAATTATATATATATATTTTTTTCAGTAACTTGTAAAGATTAGTCTATAAAGCCATCATCCATTGCTAATATCTGTGATAAGATTAAATTAACACAATGTCTAGGAAATGGAATTGTTGAAACATTTGAACATGTGGGGATTCAGTTTCAGATAACAAATATTCAAAAAGTCAGCACAGGTATTTATCAAAACCGGCTTCATACCATTTTTATTCCATACAAAGTAAAGTCAAATGTATATAAATATTTTGAAAAGAGAAACTTGATATGCTCAAAGTCTAATTTTTCTTTATATTTCATTAGCTCATACTCACCAGAGCATTTCTGTATGAATTTCTGGGATGAGGATGTATCATAATTTACACTATTTATATGCGGACTACTGTCATCATATTTGCTGTTGTTTTTGTTGCATCCTTGCATCCTATATATATATATATATATATATATATATATATATATATATATATATATTGACCTAGGTTATCTTATAGGGAATTCCAAACTGAACCCATTAGGCTGCCCAGATCAATATACATCAGATGAAGGCTTCAGGACACAATGGACAAAACAACAATGAGGATAATAGTCTGCATGTAAATAATTATCAGAGTATTTATCACAACTCTAAATCACAATATGTTCACAAAATGACTTATCCAAATAAACTGGATATATAAAGTGTCATGCAATACAATTGACTGCTTATTTTGGTGAGGGCTGTCAAGTGAATAGATAAAGCAGTTAATAAAAATTGCTGATTTTACCATTCAGCAACTATCAACATGGCTTCTACAAAGTCTTGTGTGTGTGTGTGTGTGTGTGTGGCAAAAGATCTTTTCACATTTCTGTTACACCCAAGCCCCAACACTACCACATCTGACCCACACAAGATAGACAGACTAAACTCAATTATAAAACCATTTGTTGTTATGTTGATTAGATTCAGCAAGCAATGATTTGACCAAAATGCTAATAAAATGATCAAAAAGACAATCAAATTGTCAATGAAAGCGACTTTGAACAAAACCAATTCACTGATGATCAAACAAATCAAGGGTTTTTACACAAGAGTCAGAAGTCTTTGTAATTGACACAAGGCTCAATAGATTATGCAGCTTGCTGACTTCAACAACATATCGCCTGGGTTAAGTGAAATTGCTATTTGCCACATACAAGATTGGGTTCATTACTTGCTTCCCTTTCATCTACTGCCCAATCTATTTCTTGAATCAGGAGTGTATAACAAATTACAAAGTGTCTTTCAATTAAATACAACACAAGCACAAAATCAGCATAAAACTATTCTATTTAGCAACAGTAAAATAGAGTTAAAAAAAAAAAAAAACAAGAGTCTGAATTATGATTTTGGAAATGCCTTTCCATAGCTGTAAAACAGCAGTGAAGATAGGTAAATCCTTTTTACATTGTTTTTTGGGGGATAGAAATAACTATTTAACAGGAAGGAGATTTTATCTCCCTTGCATCATTCATCAGTTTCATTCAAATAGTGAAGTTTGGCCCAATTTTAAACTAATCCCAACTAGAATCCTCTTCAAGTTTGGCATTTTACTGCTGCTGACTACATTCTCTTTAGCAAAAGCTACAGAGTTGAATTAATCAGCATTTTCCCTTCCTCTCTAAGCATCATTTCAATTTCTCAATACAAAATGCATGACTATACAAACAATAGATTCAAAGGGACAATATGAACCAAGAAAATAAGCAGCCTCTGCTGATTTCTTATAAATACAGAGCTGTAGTAACAAATGAGAAAACCCTATTTGGATAAGGAAATCTAATTATGAAAATATACATTAGACCAAAGATCCACTTCTAAATGTATTTGAAACAGACATTTTGATTTATTAAGAAATTGGATGCAGCATTGTATATTTTGAACAATTACATGTATTATTGATTCTATTAATTTTACAATAGAATTTTTCAAAAACTTATGACCAATTGAATTAGAACACGAGCAAAATCTTTCAAATTGAAATCTCTTTAAAGTCTTATAATTAGACAGCAAATAAATGTGGCTGTATCACTGTCTTCCAAAGATTTAACCATCATATTCTCTGGTCTTAAGCAGTGAACAAACATTGGCATTCATGTACAGATTGTCTTTCTGAAAATCTGATATAGCTTTTTTTAAATTAAGAAACAATAATTGCTAACTTCAATGCTTGCACAAG